TATACAAGAGTAAAACTTTATTTTGAGGAGTTATCCAATTGCCTTTATATACACTACTCAGAAAAATATAAACCAGGACAAAATATTTTTTTTAAATAAAATTAAAATATGTTATAGTAGGTGTTTGTTTTTTAATACACGATTTGTTTTTACCTATACATTTTAGAAATCCTATCGTCTGAAAGATTGTATGTCCTTCTACAGCTCACCAAAACTTGTTAAATAGCATGCCATCCAAAATAATTGGCCATCCCTGATTTAAAGCATGATGCAAACAGGTCACAAAGTTGTTAAACATGGAATTACTTTGTGGCTCATTTATTATATCATCATGCCTTAAATTTACTTGATCATATGGCTAGGTTACTTGTTAATCGCATCTTAAATATCATGTGTGTCAGGGTTCTTGGATATTTGTGATGACAGATTAAGAAATTGCCCAACCCAGTCATTGCCAGTACTCTGTCTCCGCAGCCCTTTTCTAATATTCCTCATCTGAAGGAATTGAGGGGTCACCACAAATGATTTCTCTAGTTTGCTGTTGTATGCTAACCTACTAAATTTTTAATAGAAGCTGTTGCATATAAAGCCAGGCAAGGAAGCATACATTAGTTGGATTGGCTTAAATGCTGCTTTTTGAGAACCTGTTTTTACTATTTAATATAATTGATTCCTCAAGTGCTAACCTTTTCACTGTTGTCTTCTGTAAGTAACTTGCAACCAGTTTGCACATTATTCTTGTGACTCTTCCAGAATTTGACAGTACATGACAGCTTAGCCATGAAAATTTGCAACGCAATCTTAATGGACCCAACAGCACCAGATGTTCGTATTTATGCAAAAGCCTTGAGTTCTTTAGAACTCAGTAAATACTCCATAAAGGATCTTTTGATTCTATTTGATGAGATTCTTAAGGTAGGTACTAAGTAAATAATCTGCATAACACTTGCTGTTAACATTAATGGCTAAAAATTTTGAATTTTTAAAGTAGATAAATTTGTTTTCTTTAAAGTACTTGTTTGAGTTATGAAAGTGGGTGGGTTTTTCTTTATATGGAAGTCTTTATTTTAAACATTGCATTAAAAATGAATTTAGAAAATCTTTAAACTTAAAGACTACTATAAACTATTTTATGATTTAAATATATTTAACCATTCCAGGCAGTAGAATAAGCTGAAGCAGCATGCCCTGTGTTAAATTTGCCATAACAGTAAGATTTATGATGGATGTGCTGGAGCTTATTTCATTAAATGTAAATAAAATTGAATGAGTCCTTTACAGCCCAGACGATAGAATAGCTACTGGAAATACTTGCAGTTGAATGAGAGATTAAGATTTATCTCTGTTCAGTCTTCTCACAGTGCTTACACGTACTTAACTTCAGGCTCCTTAGGCAGCAGGAAAGGACTTTGGTTTGAACTGAGATGGGGGTGGATAGGTAAGGAGTAACAGAAAGATAATGTGGATAAAGGCTAGAAGTGAAAGCAGTCATACCCAGATTAGGTAGAAGGGAGAAAGCAATAAATTTCAGAGAAGCTGAGATGCAAGGACTGTAAGATCATATATGGGTTTAAAAAAGATGTGCGTTTGTGGGAAGAGTGCCACAGCATCTGTATATGTCAGAGTCTGCGCCATTTGGTTTACCTCTGATTTCTCTTCAGCTGGTTGTAGCAGTCTCAATAAAGGTGAACCAGGGGCCAAGGGTGGGCCAACTGCCACTGTTCCTTTTCAAAGGGATGATATGCATAGCTGGAACATACCAGCCTCTCCTTAGTCTGGCACAGGAGTTGGCAGTGTTTGGTGGGGGGCTACTTTAATGGAGCTTAGCTCCAAGCTATGCTGCATTCACATCCCCCCCAGCAGTTTTGCTGCTGTCTGGCTGCTGTGCAGGCAAAACACAATGATGCAGAAGATTTGTGGGCCAGATTACATGGCTTGGGGGGGCCATAGTTTGCCAACCCCTGGTCTAGCACAGTGCATTTATACACTGAATGTCTTGCGTATTCTTAGTTTTTGCTGCTTTGTTTAACCAAATAAATCATGACATTTAAATTGTAGTCTTTTAGAGCTCTCGTGTATGATTGTATGCAATGATGTTATCAAAGATGGCACGTCTTCTCCTACAAAGTCACTAATGGGGTGTCAGTCAGCATATTTATTTCCAGAAGTTCTGATAGCTGACTGAACCACAGACATGGCTTACAAAAGTATGAAGGTGTAGGGGGGTCATGCTACTTATCCTTCTTTTTTAGGTTGCTAATTATAAAATGGAACCAAGGGGCAACATTGATTTTAAAGTAGTCATATTCTTGAATTGAATCTAGACTTAACCACTTTGGCTTAACCTAGTCGCTCTCTTGTTTCTTAAGTAATTAATCTTGGGCCAGTAATTGGTAACTAACTAATTAACCAATACTTGGGTAGTGACAGTAATTACTAAGAAGTGCTTTGCTTTTAGTACAAGTAATTTGTGTCTGTGAAACACCTGGAGCTTGTTAAATTTTACCATATTTAAGGGACTATGACTCTAAGATACTAATTCATGGAAAATGTATAGAAACAATTAGTGTATAATTAAGCAATATTAATGTGAAATATTTCTTCCACAGAAAGTGAAAGATAAGTTGTGTCAAAGAGCTATTGAGAAAATCAAGACAGATTTCAGAAAACATAATGACATTGGCAAAGACCACTCTGCAGTTGTGCAGGACACTGGCACCACAACATCAGAAGATGTTAATCAAATTGAGGATGGTATGTAATGAAAGTAGTTTAGCAAGAGGATGAATGAATCTCTGAATGGTATAAGTAGTTATCTAACTAAAACGGTAAATTCTTCTCTCTTTATCATGAAAACTTTAAAGTATCCAAGAAGTATATAGCAAATGTTGCGCTTTTAAAATACTCTGCAACATTAGGCTAGTCTTTCTGATTTTTCTGTTGGCTTTTTACCTAGTTTCCCTGTTCCTTCTTTTAAAAACAGTGTCAGACATTTCTCTCCACAACAGTTCCTTTATAAAGATAATGCCAGCTAGGGGACCTTTTGTTTAATAGATAGTTGAGGAGTTGTCAGTCTCCTGACTACTAGTGTCCACTAATTGGCATAGACATAACCTGGCCAAGATGCAACTAGATAACTTTCAATTCCTTTTTTGTTTGCAATCGACTTTCTGCATTTTTCCTCAAATTTTTTTTGTATTTTTTTTTTTTTTTTTAAGACAGCATTTTATAACATAGTACAAATAGCAGTGTCATCTCCTTGTTGTTAACTTCCACATTTAGAGCCAGATTTGGGTCTCGTTTAAATGCGTAATGATGGTAGAAAGAAGACTTTTCATTCTCTGTAGTCTGTGTAGCAGCAATAATCTCTGTGTGTTTTTTCAATCCCTGTACTACAAGTAGCCCAGGTACTATCTGTTAGCAGCTCCTGGTCTCATAATGTAGCTTTTCTTGGGATAGCTTGTATTTATTCAAATACTACACTCGCCTTTTCCCCAAAGATTAGATAAGGAAAATTGGTTTGCATCTTCAATGAGGACACTGGTTTCTGCAGGAGCTGTGTTAAGAGTCTTCTGCTCATCCTCATTCCCCCTCCCCTTGGTACCTGTCAACATCTGAGAATCTACCTTTCTCTCCGATCCTGCTGA